GAGATATATATTCAACCTTTTACAGCTGTGATCCAGTACTTGCTTTGTCCATTAATTACACAGACTTGTGCTTCCTGGAAATCAAGCTCATCTGCATCAAGGACAGGGAATGCACCCACTGGTGTGCACATAGATATGTTCCAAATGTTTCTGAAGACAATACATAACTTCCCTAAGCACTCTTTTGCCGACCTCGGTCATATTGACCATCATTTCATCCCGATGGTGGACAGCTCAGGAATAAGAAGAGACAAACATGTTTATATCTACTGTAATGGTAGAATACCTTTCTTGCTGGTTTAAAATAGTGATATACATTGCTCATGCATGCATAAGGTGAGAATGGAGCAGAGAAACGCACAAGAATACGAGGGGATACTTGCAACCACCTTTCAGCCACAATCTGCTGACAAATCAACTCGCACCGGAACCGGGCGTTGCGCCTCCCCAGAAGCAGATGGCGAAGGCGTACTGCGACTCGGCGAGGCTTGCTGTGATCCGAATCCCGCCATCAAAGCCGTCAGGAGTATATTTGTTTGTATTTACCGGGGGTGGCGTTGGTTTGTACATATGTATGTACTAAAATGTAGCAGATCCAGCCAAGAGGGGTGCAAAACCAGAATTTTGGACACCGACCTCCAACTTTCCAGGACCCCCGGAAAGGGGGTAGGGGGGAGTCCCCCTTCCGTGTACGGACGAGCCGGACAGCGGCAGAAGCGCAATCGGACCTCATTTGGACGGCGACGATAAAATTAGAGACCCATCTTTGCCCGCAGTGTCACGTGACGTTCTGGCAAGCACGAGGTCTGACATTCGTCCCAGACGGTGCGTACTTGCAGATATTCAGAAGGCATTAAATCGTGACATAGACTAAATGATAAAATTGCTAATATCGTACTACATGCGTGCAAGCGTTTATTAGAGCAATATTGGACTTGATTCGGCGACTGTGCAAGGATTAACGGGAAACTGAGCAAAGAGTGCGTACTAGGACCCCGAACATCAATACTGACCCAGTGCAAAGGTAGGTCCGTGTTCCCGATTTAGATCTTGCACCCCTCTTGGATCCAGCAGGCATCCCAAGCCACAAATCATGTGACAGCACGCGTCTCAAGGCAAGGTCGGAGTTTAAAAACTCGAACCACCACGCCTTTCCAGCTTCCGGTCGCCATTCCCGCCACTATCGCGCATATCGACCAAGTAATCCGTCCTACGAAACCGAATACTATGACCACAGTGGGGTCTATAACTCGGCAAATTGCTGCACTTGAGTTGTCGGCAAAGCAGAACACCACTGCCAACAAGACCCGCCCGACACACCAGAAACAAGGGAGCGGCAACGTCTCGAAATTGCTCACGAAATTTGCGGCTCCTAATCCCCCAACCTCGAAGTCGATCAAGCCTCAAGCATCGAATTCTTCTATCAGTCGACTTCCTACCGCCGGTGGCCAAGTTGGTGGCAAGTCTACGAAGGCACCGACACCATTATCAAGAGAGGCCACACAGCCTGCTATAGACATTGGGAAATATGACGGAGGACTAGAAATTGATGAAGAGAATAGAGGGAAGAGGGTTTATGGCGAAGCTGCTGAAGACCTTGCTTTGGACTCTAGTGTTATCGAGTGAGCATCTTGCATTATCTTGGCTCGAAGCTCAGATTTAATGTCATATCCAGGCACCAGCCTACTCGTGAATGGCACCTTTCAGACTTTGACATTGGGCGACCTCTGGGCAAGGGCAAATTTGGGCGCGTTTACATGGTGCGCACGAAGTGCGAGCCAAAATATATCCTCGCCCTCAAGACGTTGTACAAGTCCGAAATCGTCGAGTCGCGCGTGGAGAAGCAGACACGACGCGAAATCGAGATCCAGCAGAACCTGCGCCACCCACACATTCTCCGATTATATGGTTATTTCCACGACGAGAAGCGCATCTTCCTGATGATCGAGTTTGCAGGCAAGGGCGAGCTGTACAAGCAACTGAGCAAATACGGGTGCTTCACGGAGAAGCGGAGCTCGCGCTATATCGACCAGATGGCGGACGCTCTGGAGTACCTTCACTCGAAGCATGTTATCCATAGGGATATCAAGCCCGAAAACCTACTGCTTGGGATCAATGGGGACCTGAAGATTGGCGACTTCGGCTGGAGCGTGCATGCGCCGGGCAACAGGCGGACGACGATGTGCGGGACCCTGGATTACCTTCCACCGGAGATGATTGAAGGGAAGGAGCACTCAAAGGAGGTAGATCTTTGGGCGCTCGGAGTGCTCACGTATGAATTCCTCGTTGGGTCTGCACCCTTCGAGGAACGTTCACATAACGGTGAGTATTTTCTGACGCCACCACGAGCTCCGGGTAATAACATTTCATCAGAAACGTACAAGCGGATCATGCGAGTTGATTTGCGCATCCCCTCCCGCGTGTCACCTGAAGCAGCGGACCTAATCGTCAAAGTGAGTCTGCTGTTAGCAGCTCCTTCTCTCAAATATTTCTGACATATCTCCGCGGCGTAGCTCCTCCAGCATGAACCGCACCACCGCCTTCCCCTCTCTGAAGTGCGTAAGCACCCCTGGATACTCAAGTACCGGTCACGTAGCTCGAACTCTCAGCCGCAAAACTAGCGGATGCGGGGGGTATGAGACTGCTTGTTGATTTATTGTAGCATAAGTATATCACAGTACAGATATGGACCCTTTAGGCTTTCGCATCTCATGCCTTGCTTGTTTCTTAGATCCTCTCCGTGCGTACCTCATATATCCGTATTGCATTGCATTACACCGTTGTCTGGCAGGTTTCTAGTGTCCGATAATGAGCTGTATTGGCACATGAGGGACGCGATGGCTCCTGTAGTCGACGAGTTTACTCCGTCCACCAACGTTATCCTCGCTGTCCATCATGGCCGCACTCAACCATGATTGACCCGTGTACATACAAGTAGGCTATCCTCCTATCCCGTGGAAGACCCATCATTCTGGTCGTAGCAGATCTATGTCCCCTTGACTAACACGCCACCTTTGGGAAGAACGAAGGGAGGTACGATAAGGCATACAGACCGAGTACCAGAGCAATTAAAATCTGACTTCCGCTATGCGTTTCAAACACATGAATCGAGCCCCGCACCCGGTAAGCGTCTACAAAGGCTCCTCTACTACCTCTATAGGGCCGTGTTCCTCTTCCTGCTTCCGCTCCCATTCCGCTATCCTTTCCAGGACGTGGACCCAGTCGTCCTCCGTTTCAGCACCCTTGATGAAGCTGTCCTGGATACCGAGTTGTTCCGCCCTCAGCCATCCCCGGCGCGTCAGCCACGTCTGCTCCCGATTGCGCCGCCGCCAAGGCTCCAGGTATGGCTTGCTCTTGTCAGCCAGGAAGTCCGGGAGCGGGATGCTCGACTTGTTCCGGAGCAGGTCGATAAGCCCGTTCATGTATGCTTCTGAAGCTCCCTCGCCGGTGAATGCACTAATCAAAGGTGGTCATTTACCTAGTCCTGGGGAAATAACGAAATGACTGACTGGCCGTAGCGATAAGGATCGATGCCTTGCTTCTGAAGACCGGACTCCTGCTCCTCAAGATCAGCCAGTAGCTCTTCGCGGCTTGGCAGCCAGTGCGGATCCGCAATAGTGTGGGCTACCAACTGTCCCTGAGCATAGTCACTGGGAGCATTGGCGATCCACAACGGCAGACCGACGAAAGATAGGGCGTTCGGCGGTATCGACGGATCTAAGGACAGACAGTGCCGGTAGAGCGGGCGGATGTAGCGCTTATTGGTCGTTAGATTCAATGTGGTGTCGTCAACGCCGTCCGGAGGAGATACAGTGAGCTGAGTCAACCACGGCACTAGCAAACTGTATCCCGTGGCAAGCAGTATAGTAGTATTCAACGGCGTTTCCAGCGTCGTGTTGTCGATGAATACGATGGCGTTTTCCGTGAAGTGCGAGATACGGGGCTTGACGATAGTTCCGGGGACGGGAGGAAGTTTGATGGGTTTGATGGTGTCATTGTCGTACGAATGATATACCTTCCCAGCCAACGGAACGGTCTGCTGAGCCATGTCCCTGCCACTAGCTCCATCACCCACCACTATCACGAATCGCCCAGCGTATTTCTCCGGCTCTCGATACCATAGTGAGTGCAAAATTTGTCGCTGACCATCACCTTGCCTGAGCCATTCGTCCTCGCCATCCCAGTGGGGTGAATATGGGTACCGATTATGTCCGTTGGCGACGACGAGCTGGTCATAATGTCCATGCGATGTATCACCATCCGCTCTTTGAACGGTGATGTCCCAATGTAAAGCTTGGTCATATGTAGCATTGACAACAGAGGTATTGAAGTGAATAAATGGACGCATATTGAAATGTTCGACGTAGTCGTCGTGATATTGTTGCAAGGCGTCGTGATGCGGGAAAAGGTTAGTCATGGGAGGAAATGGGAAATGCGGGTACGTCACTGGATTCGAAAGAGTCAGTAATATCACCGTAGACTTGGTACCGCTACAACTAAACTCACTGGTAGGGTGCGGGGTATTCGTCCGCAAAGCAGGGTACAAAGGAGTGGTCGGAAGTTCCGGCGGGGACGGAGGGTTCGGCTGAGGAACCCAGATCCCACCTACGCTAGCGGTCTGCTCGAAGACGTCAATCTTCCAGCCTGTCCGAATATCTTCAGGGAGCTCCAGGAGAGCCCTAAGTGCGCCGATTCCTCCCGTGCCCGCTCCGACAATGGCAATCGACTTGGACACGGGGATGCTTTCGGGCACCTGAGCCGGCGACGAAAAAAAGAGTGCAGAGATCACCCCCTAGGTCGTTGAAGATAGTCAATTAGATGAGAGTGCAATGAATTATAGGTGAACGGTACGTACGGACAATCTACTGATGGTACCCATGGTGGTCGAAAGCAAAGACTCCGCCAGTGAAGGCATCCGCGACCCCTAAGTAGTCTCATAGTCCAGAGCTACTGCTGACAGATATACGAGGGAAGGAAGGACCGCTAATCAATTGCAACTTTGGCTTATACGTGAGGTGATATGGCGTCAAAGCCTCCATATAGCACGAGATCAACTTCTGTTCCAACTGCGCTCGAAAATATCTCTGGCTGGGAACTGCGGGGTGAGAGAGTTGCTCCTGCTGGGAGTAGATGTCGTGGTCTGACACTGTAATGGTTTTTGGCGGAGGTTGCATATGGAGTTCACGTTCGATGCTAGACCGTGGACTCGACGTGCAACCCCTGCAGTGCCCAAATTGCGAACAGTGGTTCTCCCATGGCATGAGGGTACTACTCCGGCTTGACGATACGAGAGTGAGTCAATGAAGCTTGTAATTGCCTTCCCGTATGAACCAGGTAGGGGCTGTCCGATACATGGCAGCGTCTCAGAATTGAAAGATGGGTAATATGTGGGGTAAGTAAGGATAAGTACCGTAAACGGTGATTGACATAATGGCTTCAAAAAAACCGGAACCAAATAATTATTCCGATACAGCTTCAATTCCGAGCGATGTAACTCTATGATGCGGGGCCATTCCGTAGCACTTCCGCCATGCTTTGAGAGAAACGGTGTATAAGGCCTCTATAGAGGCCTGTGCTAGTTCGTAAAGCTGCCATCCTGTGCCTGTCATGTCTGTTCGGCCTTTTCAGTTCCTACTGATATGGGAGGGCAGCTGTGCCACCTTGTTTATCAAAAGGAGAAAGGGCGGCCTGATATCTCTGACTCGGAATCACTTTCGCGATCGTTCGGACTGTCTACATAACGATACGACGTCGAGGGCGAACCGTAATGAAGCCCAACGGGAAACCGCGGGGGAGCTATGCAAGACGAGCATGTAATCACTGCAGGCAGAGGTACGTGCGTCCATCGGAATGTGGCACGACGAGAGAAGTTGAGGATTGTGGCAGGAAGAGCCGCTGCGACGGACATGAACCGATCTGTGGCCCTTGCCAATTGACTGGGCATGAGGTGCGCACAAGACCAGTCAGCGGATGTGAGAGCAGGCTCAAATCTTGTGCAGTGTACGTGGGGCGCGGAGAGCGCAAAGAAACCCAATACCCGGCAATACGTTGAAATGCTGAAGAATCGCATCAAGGTCCTTGAGATCAATCTCAAGGCTGCAGAGGAAGAGCTCGCTGTGTACAGGCAGAACAACTCGCCCCCGGCCGTCCAGTTGCCCGCTGCGACGCTCACCAGCGACTCTCCGGATGCTCTACATACCCCAGAGTCTGATGAGCGCAGCGAGTCCCCCACTTCCCCGGATCAAGATCCCGACCTGGATCAGTTATGCACTTCCACCCAACACCTCGTCGTACGTGCCACTTATAGCCTGGAGGTGCCCTAATGCCAACCCAGCTCTGTAGCTGCAAGACAGCGACCTCCAAGTATTTGGCCCGACGTCTGTCTACCGCCTGTCTCCGAACGTGTCCGCTCCTCCACGCAGCCCGAAGATAGCTGACCGCTACCGCTTCGACTACGGTCGCATTCTGGATGATCGATGGCGGCGCTACCTTCCGTCAGACGTTTCCCTTGACCGCGGAGACCATGACTTGTGTGTGATCGCTCGCCTACTACCGTTTGTACGCCCACTGACCCCTTCTGGACCCAGCCTGCTCGATCTGTGCTTCAAGTTCTTCACGTCCTGGTGCATGCGCGTCGTACCGGAGCTTTTCCTGCGCGACATGTACGTCTTCTTGAGCGTATCCGAGACAGAGCCGCCGCCGAAGACGGCACACTACTCACCGATGCTGCACAACGCGCTCCTCGCGCTCGCGCTCGCGTTCTCGGACAAGCCGCACCTGCGCGACGTTGAGACCCGCCGGCGCTTTGCCGCGCAGGCGAAGAAGGACATCGAGACGGAGTGTGAGCGGCCGAACATCAGCGTTGTGCACGCCCTCTCGCTCATCGGCAGCTTTCATTCGACCCAGGGGGAGCAGACGCTTGGGTACATGTACTTTGGTAGGTCCCGGTCGTCACACTCTAGGTAGGATCATGTTGACAATCCCGGCAGGCATGAGTAGCCGGATGAGTCAAGCGTGTGAGTCCGCACAGTAAACTTGGGAACCTTCAGCGGGACTGACGACCTCGCCATGCCTCATAGTGGGTCTTAGCATCGACTGTTCACCATGGGTGAAATGCGGCGTAATCACAGATGACGACATGCTCGCCCGAAACTGGGCCTACTGGACAACATTCTCTCAGGTGAGTTTCTAAGCTTAGGTGTGTCTATTCAGCGCTGAGTATTGGTGCCTAGGACGTTTGCTGGTCTCTCCACGTCGGCAGGGAGTTCTGCGTGCCCGAGCCGTCCGACAAGCAGAAGATCCCGGTGCCTTTCGTTGATTCCGAGTTTGACCAGATCACGTACATGTGTCCGGAACCGTTCTTCAATGTTCCGGCGCAGCCCAGTCTGCTATCAAGCACGTTCGCTGCGAGCTGTGACTTGCTGAAGATTGCTAGGCGGATCATGGAGATTGTGTATGTATTACTTTATGATGGCTCAAAGGCACGAGAAGACTAAAGCTACCTTTCCTTGTCAGGAACGGCTTGACGAATAGGACACGGTACGAAACGCAACTCAAATTGATCAGCGAGATTGAGTAAGAGGCACAGTGGCTTGGTACGAAGCGTCGTATTGATCCCCATCCTCCACCCAGTTTGCAGTTGAATGGGTGGAAAGACGCGCTCCCGAAGGACCTCGACCTGACGCACTCAAACCGGATCACCGCCCTCCCCCACCGATTGATGATGCATCTGGCCTACTGGTGGTGCTTTATCCTCCTGCACCGGCCCTTCTATCGCCGGCCTCGTCCTGTTCACGGCACAGCCGTGCAAGATCTCGACCACGTGAAGGTACGTCCGTCTATCTGCACTACTCATTCGCAAATGCTAACCCTCGGCCAGCTCTGCAACGCCGCTGCCAACGAAGTCATGAAAATCCTCGAAACCTGGTCGACGCTCTACTCGCTACGCTACGCGCCGATCACAGTCATCCAGGTCGCGTACTCCGCCGGCACTGTCTACACACTCTCGTCTGTGCAGGCGATGGCGCGCCCGCGTCTCGCCGAGGTCGCCCTTGCCACCGCCGTCGGCAAGGCGGAGCTGTGCATCTCGTACTTGAGGGAGACGGGCCGCAGCTGGGAGTGTGGGAATCAGGTGGCGGATATATTGCAGGGTTTGCTGCAAAAGCAGCTACGTGCACGTTTGGAGATGCGTGCGGTGGACCGCCCGAGGTTGCTGGTGCAGACGCAGATCGCGCACTCGCAGCCTCACTCTCACTCCCACTCGCATCCACACTCGCACGATCAGTCCCAGCCTGATACGCGGTCTCCGCCGGTAGCGCACCGCCCCCCTGAACTTGACTACTCCCACCCGTCTATGTCTTCCGGCGCCGGTTCCTCCCTCTCCTCTCCAACCTCGCTGTCAGACCCGACCAACACTATGCAATACCTTCTCTCCCACTTCGGCAGCGACAACTCCTCGACCTTCCCACACCAGCCCGTGCCCGACGACCCTGATACAACAATGTCGTGGCCGCTCTCGTATGGCGGGATCCCGGACATGGGCGTGGGCATGCTCAATGGGGAGAGCTTCCCGCGCGTGCCGTACACGACGTTCACCTCCGGCGGGTTCGGGTTTGGGTCCCCTGAGATGGGCTTCGTCGCAGGCGCGAGCGGGAGTGGGGGGAGTTCTGAGATGAGCGCCGACGAGGTGGCATTCTTGAGGGGGTTCGTGGGGGAGGAGGGGCAAGGGTGGCAGGGCAGGTGAGGTGTGCTGGAATCGGGCTAGCTGCTATGTAATGGTGCAGTTGTAGGAATGTATGAACGATTGTATTATCAGGCTTGTCAGGTTTGTACTGGGCAGTACTCATGTGGTATATGTATGTATGCATGTATGTACTAGGGTCTATCGATAAATCAGAGCGTGTGCGCCGAGTTATCTGCGTGATCACGGTCCACCATCGAGGGAGCCGTGGCCGACGACCAAAGTGCATGGATTCGTGAAGCGCAAATGGACGGTATGGTGGAGCGATGGTTTGCGCTGCTGGTAGACCTGCGCAGGACGGTGATGAGGTGAAAGGACAACGTGGGGGCAGACATTAGCAGAGAAGCACACTGCTGAGTGTTCAGGAGGATCCAGTCGTATGATAATTGTTTCAGCGAAAGAGCACTTCCGTTGAATGATCGACAGACATCGAGGCCGAATGGTAGACTGACGGAGTGACCCTATCTCGAGGGGCACGAAGGGGAAGATGTTTCGTTGTCGACTCTTGGAGGTCCTTGTATACTTCGCCTAATGATGAGTAATGAATCGCGGCATATCTCGCGTTCATAAGACATTGCAGCAACAACTCACGCTCACTTCTGCGGAAGCGGGTGTGCGAACCGAGACGGGTCGTCCATGAAACTATTGTGGCCCATATGTGCTTATGAGCTAACTCCAAGCATCGCAGCGCTAGCAAAGCCAACGCCTGGCAAAGCACGCGTGATGATAGCGGACCCAGGATTTTCATGACAAGTAGCGGACTCCAAGACGAGAGTACGCGCTGGGTTGAGGCAAACGCGCACTCTGCTATTTCTGTCGGAACGGATCCCAGGCAACACGAGCTGTGAAGGGCTTGCATGTCCGTCCAGCGCTCTGCTCCTCGCCTTTTGACTACTCAGGCTCTGCTCGTATTCAAGAGAAACTGACCGCGTCGCTGACCTACTCTTTCTCGATGCCTGCTAAGGCTGCCGTCACGGTGGCTGGTCCTCCCGCCTTCGTGCTCGAAATCAAGAGTGAGTGGAGTCTCCAATGCAGACGGCGTCGAGCTAAGCCGTGTCGTAGATATCAAGTTTAGCGCGAATTCCGAGGATGGTATCCAGCGTGGACCATGGAGGAGCCATAAGATATATCTTTCAATTTCCATCGGAGGCATCAAGGATAAGACAAAGCTCATAACTGCGAAGGGAAGGATGGTGCAATGGGACGACATGCTGTCCTTGTGAGCAGCTTCTTCTATTGTCATTTGTCCCTCATCTAACTGCACATGTCTCAAACCCAGTTACAACGCTCGAATCACTAGCGACGCCGACAGCACTCAAATCGCTGCCGACACTATACTAGAACTTTCTTTGAAAGTGAAGCATTACATCCGCACCAGGCTGATCTTTACTATCCGGGAGAATGTTGCGACACTCCTTCATTCGTCCTCTGAACAGCATTGTATGTCCTCTCCAGCATCATATGCTCCCTTCCCTCATCATTTGCTAGCAGTTGTCCAAGACATCACACTTCAAGGATTGTCCTATCGGATTCAGTTTGACATTATAAAGTGCACTCCTTCAGAGCATGCTGCAAATATTGCTGCTGAGGCATCAGCTGCTATGGGGAAAATGAACATATCTCAGAATCTGCCTTCACCACCTGATTCAGCTGCAGGGAGTACTGTAACAGATACAGTATCTGCCTTGGCACCCCTCCTTGCCACAGCTGATGTTGTTGACAAAGTAGCAAGTGTAATTTCTCAGGTGACTAACATTGGTAATACCTCATTCCAAGTGCTGAGAAGCCTTGATGTTAGATCCATCCCTGGGCTAAGATGGCTCATGACATCCTCTTTATGGGCTATCAGGTTGTGAATTAATCTTTCAGATACTGATTTCAGTTCTGACTCTTGCAATTTGGCCAGGTCATCAGAGATGGGGTGGACCGTGACAGCAAAATGCAAGAACTCATGGCTACTGTCAAGGTTACATGTGACTTTGCAAAGGATGCAGTTGCTCGTCAAGATCTGGCTGATGGCCAGAAGAATATCATCATCAAGATGCTGCAACAGGTTGTAGAATGTTGTCTCTTTATCAGGGACTACGCCAAGGATGAGTCTTTTGGTAAGAAATGGGCTCAACTGTTGTTGTGATGTGTGCTCTACATTTACATGGTATTATAGTTGCCCGAGCATGCAAGCAAGCTTTCAAAGATACTGATGAACTCATTGATAAATACAAGGCAAAGTTTGAGGAATATAGGAGAGCCTTTGACTCCAACAATATACACCAAATCCAGATTGAGTGCATCCAGATCATGGACAAACTGGAACAAATGGGTAAGACTAATATCATCTTGATTTCATGCCATTATATGAAAACATTGGAGAAATAGATCTCAAGGATATTCCTTATGCTGCTGGTGCTTCATTTCAATCCTCCAAGGCTTGCTTACCTGGTACTCGCAAGGCTCTCCTGGATGAAATATCTCAGTGGATTATTGGGGACAAAAAAGAACAGATCTTTCTACTTACAGGTGGTGCTGGGACTGGTAAATCCACAGTGGCCCATACTATTGCAAGACAGTTCAAGGATTTGGGCCGACTAGGTTCTCCATTTTTCTTTGGGACAGGTGGAACGCCTCTTGAGCTCTTTGGCACCATTGCCCGTGATCTCTCTGCGCTTATTCCAGAAGTGAGGGCAAGACTGTCAAAAGTTGATACTTCATCTCGCAATACCCCAGATATTGCAGATCAATTCAAGTACTTTCTGCTTGATGCCACCAGTGGACTTGAAATTGTGGGGCCTGTGGTAATAGTCATTGATGCCCTGGATGAAAGTGGAGATATTCACGCCTGTAAAAGGTGTCTGGAGATCTTGGCCAACAATATCCACCTTCTTCCACCCAGCTTCCGCTTTCTTCTCACTTCTCGCCCAGACCCTAATATCGAGAAAGCTTTGCCCCAGGCATGCAAGAAGCAGATGGAACGTGTTCAAGGAACTTCCAGGGATATCTCAGAATATATTTTTGCCACCTTGAAACCCCAGGGCAAATTATTGGAAGGTCTCCCAACTAATACTTGTGAAGAGCTGGCTAAACATGCAGGAGACCTATTTCAATGGGCATCTGTGGCCTGCAATTTCATCAAGGAGCAAGTGGAATGGGAAGAAGCAGGAGTTCTTCCATCACAGAAATTCTCCCAAATTATTTTGAATGCCTCCCGGAAATCCACACAAGATCTGAATGGTCTTTATAGAGAGGTCCTCAATAGACTCTTCCCAGAGGAGAGGGAGGCAGCATTGAGACTCTTCCACAGTTTCGTTGGGCCAATCCTGGCATCATACCAAGCACTCTCAATGAAGAGTCTGTCTAGGTTGCTCTCTGAGCCTTTGGAGAATATCCAAGAGGTCCTGAAATTCATGGGCCCATTCTTGGATGGTGTAGCACCTAAGAGCAACCTGCCTATTCGACCTCTGCACCAGTCCTTCTATGAGTTCCTGACAACCTCTGACCAAGCAGGGCGGTTCTTCATCAACCTCAATGCACACCATCAGATGTTGTTGGAAAGGTCACTGGACTTGATTAACCATGACCTCACCTTCAACTACTGCAGGCTCCAAACATCTCACAAATCCAACTTGGACCAAAAGTATGATGAACCAAGTGTGGAAATCTCATATGCCTGTCAATATTTTGGAAAGCACCTAGAAGAATTGCAGATGCCACAAAATTCACAATCTGCCACCAGGACCCCACAAATGGATACACTGGTGCATCAGTTCCTGACAGAGAAACTCCTTGCTTGGTTTGAAGTACTGAGCATCTTGAGAAGGTTGGATGTTGCATGCCCAGCCTTGCTTCACCTGGCTAGATGGATGGTGAGTATCAAACCCTTGTACATGATTATGACAGTTGACTAATCCTTGGCCAAACTCAGAAGGATTCAGAGCTTTGCAGCTTTGCAGAAGATGCAGCTCAATTCATTCTCTACTTTGGATTGCCCATAGCAGTATCAGCACCACACATCTATCTCTCAGCAATGCCCTTTGCCCCAAGCACTTCTCTTGTTGCACAGAACTATCAAGCATCTCTTGTAAAAGCACTCACAGTCACAGAAGGCAAACTGAACAAGTGGCCTGCGCAGCAAATGGCAATCCACACTCAATCAGTAGTTCACTCACTTGCCTTCTCCCCTGATGGGAGGTGCATCGCCTCTGGCTCATGGGACAACACAGTCAGGGTGTGGAATGCTCAGACAGGAGAGCCAGTGGGTGTTCCTCTCACAGGGCATGAAGCTCAGGTCAATTCTGTGGCCTTCTCCCCTGATGGCAAGTACATTGCCTCTGGCTCAGATGACAAGACAATCAGGGTCTGGAATGCTGAGACAAGAGAGCCGGTGGTTGGACCTCTCACAGGGCATGAAAATTGGGTCACTTCTGTGGCCTTCTCCCCTGATGGCAAGTACATTGCCTCTGGCTCATGGGACAACACAATCAGGCTGTGGAATGCTCAGACAGGAGAGCCAGTGGGTGAGCCTCTCACAGGGCATGAAAATTGGGTCACTTCTGTGGCCTTCTCCCCTGATGGCAAGTACATTGCCTCTGGCTCATGGGACAACACAATCAGGGTGTGGAATGCTCAGACAGGAGAGCCAGTGGGTGTTCCTCTCACAGGGCATGAAGCTCAGGTCAATTCTGTGGCCTTCTCCCCTGATGGCAAGTACATTGCCTCTGGCTCACATGACAAGACAATCAGGGTGTGGAATGCTGAGACAAGAGAGCCAGTGGTTGGACCTCTCACAGGGCATGAACTTGGGGTCAGTTCTGTGGCCATCTCCCCTGATGGCAAGTACATTGCCTCTGGCTCATGGGACAAGACAATCAGGGTGTGGAATGCTCAGACAGGAGAGCCAGTGGGTGTTCCTCTCACAGGGCATGAAGCTCAGGTCAATTCTGTGGCCTTCTCCCCTGATGGCAAGTACATTGCCTCTGGCTCACATGACAAGACAATCAGGGTGTGGAATGCTGAGACAAGAGAGCCAGTGGTTGGACCTCTCACAGGGCATGAACTTGGGGTCAGTTCTGTGGCCATCTCCCCTGATGGCAAGTACATGCCTCTGGC